AAAGATCATAGCCGTCATCAAAAAAAAAATAGTAGGAGGTACATTTCCACAAGCATCCAAGGAAGGCTTGTTTACCATATTAGACGCACAATCTCTAGATAGGGAACTAGCGACAACTTTCCTTAAAAAAATAGAATAACGGAAGGAAGGCGTACTTCAGAGTAAAGTACATAAAAAAATCTGACATGGTGTGCATTAAAATTGGTAATGTAACACTAATAGGCCCTATCATACAAAACCGTTCTCAGTCAGCTGCTTTGTTTTATGTTCAGTTTCTTTTAAATCAATAGCGCTTGCTTTTCTCACTTAGGTTGAAGACATCTGCAGTTCAGCAAAACACATATACAAAATGGGGTTGGAAATGAGTCAGCCATTTCCTGTCCCAAGATTCAAACCTATTTTGCTTTTCTGAAAACATGATTCAAACTATCCAACAATAATTTAGTTTGCTGTCTGTAAATTATAGGGTTGGCCACCATATAAACACCAGAAAGTGTACACAGGTTCATAGTCAACTATTACTTTTCTGATAATCATCAGAACTCTATACTTACATAATTATATAACACCATATTTTAAAGGGACTGGAAAATTTTATACATTTATTGTTATTATATTAGAAATGTATATAGATAGTAGATCTATATAGATAAAATAAATTTTGTCAGCACAAGGTACCTAAAATACACCAATATAACAATAAGAGTGTTACTATACTAAGATCAGAATATTCTCTGATCTTAAGGAATGGTATACAGATATAAAAATCTATTTGATAACTGTTTGAATGGTGAAAAACAGGTAGACCAATGTAAACTAAAGGAAGATATATATATGTACATATATATGTTTATATATATAAAGAGAATATATATCGAGAGAGAAAAAGAGAGAATATATATAGAGAAAAGATAGAGAGAAAGAGAGTGGAATTGTCTCTTAGTCCTGTTTATGCATTTATTACAAGCATGGCAAAAATAATAACAAATAAAAGTCTCTCTAAACTGTGGATTTCACACAATTGAGATACCTGATAATAAACTGGATGACAGCAAATGTGAAATATTCATGTGACAGCGCAACTCTAACAAGAGGATGCTTAATTGATATAATAGCACTGTCTTGATTTTGTTTTCCTTTATATTTTTAAAATGAGAAATACAAGATGAATAAAGGTAAAAAGGTAAAGGCCCTCCCGTTGATCGTCGATTTGCTCGAGCGGGCCCAGTAACGTCTCCATTGGAGACTTTGTTGTTACTGTGTCTGGCATATCGAATACTCTCGGTAGCTTGCCGGGCTCTCCGAGAGGGGCGGAGGAATCGAACTCGGGTCGGCCATGTTGGCCGCGTGTAAGGCAAACGCCCTACCCGCTGTGCTATCGCTCCAGCATAGCACATTCATAGGGCATTTGCCTTGCACGCAGTCAACATGGCCGACCCGAGTTCGATTCCTCCGCCCCTCTCGGAGAGCCCGGCAAGCTACCGAGAGTATTCGATATGCCAGACACAGTAACAACAAAGTCTCCAATGGAGACGTTACTGGGCCCGCTCGAGCAAATCGATGATCAACGGGAGGGCCTTTACCACAAGATGAATAATCTTTTAAAAAAAGTTCTTAGAATTTTTGAATATATAATAAGCTTACTGTCATCAATATATAAGGATTACCAGGAAAAAAGCTAAGATTTTTGTCATATTATAGAATTAAATGATCTGGGATGAAGAGAGTCATGGGCGTAATTGAAATCTTCACTCTATTTTGAGCAGATTACACTTTATGTATTCGGCTTATTTTGAATAGTACACTTCTAGAATGATATAAGGAAAATTGAGCTTATGAATGTGTAACTTCTAAAATGTAGGTATATAGCCCATGTGCCAGCCTGGCTTATACCTAACCTCCCTGACAAAGAGTAAGAAGCCCTGCCTACAGACCAAGAATCCCTAACACGGTACTCACTATCTTGACCTACCTCCAGAATAACAGGATCTTTTTTTTTTTCAGTTTCCTCAGAAACTTTTGGATGCATTAGCAGCCACGTGATACCTACTCCTTCATATCCCGCAGGAAACACACTTTGAGATCTCACAATGAACTCACCCTGGAGTGACTTGGGTGTCTTCAAACACATCCTGCTAATATTGACTTAATCCTTCCTCCAATCACCTATTCCCACAGAATGTTACAAAAGTAACGATGATGATAAGAAATCATAGAACCCTAAACTACAGCCTAAGTACTGGCAAGGCCAAGGACACTGAAAATCTTCCTGGGATCCTTATATGAAACTCTTAAAAAGCTGGGAACAACAAAATTGATTGGGATAGCTCCAACAGGGAAATAAGAGAGAAACACTAAAGAATCAAATAACATTTTAATAAAGAAATTTAGTGAGTAGTTGGAAATGCAAGTTGGAACAAAACATGTTAGAATCATAGATGCAAATTTGGAGTTATCTTCATATCTGTCTGACAGTGTTGCTCTTAAAATGATAGATCTTCTGTATTTTTTCCTCCTAACTTTATATAAAGCCCTCATCGCAACAGATAACCTGAACATATTTTAGCTAAAGGTGAAGGATTTGTACAATCTGGAGAGAAACCAGAGGATGACCCGAACATATCTTCTGAAACCTGGTTCAGCCATAAGTACCATAGTAACTGCACAAGTGGGAAAATATAGAGTATTCTGGTAGCAACTGACATAGCACTGATGTGATGTTACATCTCTCCCTTCCTGTCATTTCAACTTCAGTACTCAGTAATTCTTTAGAACATAGTGAAAGAAGACAAGCAACTACTCTGAGTAGTTTGTTGCTGTTTGATTTTGTTTTGCTTTGTTGTTTCTTGTTTAACTAATCAGTTACTCACTAGATCCTTCAGGAAGTCCTATTTGGCCTTTCACTAGAGGGACTACCAAGAATTACTAGCCACATCAACTTTCTTCCTTCCTTCCCTCCCTCCCTCCCTCCCTCCCTCCCTCCCTCCCTTCCTTCCTTCCTTCCTTCCTTCCTTCCTTCCTTCCTTCCTTCCTTCCTTTCTTCCTTTCCTTCCTTCCATCTTAAAGATACAAGGCAAGTGCTCTACCACTGAGCTACATTCACAGCCGTAGAAAACTTTTTTTTATGAAACATGATAAAGATAATTCATATATAATTACACATTATATATAATGTGTATAAACAATCCCACAACATGAGTTGTCTTTGTTGTTAAAAAACTTTATTTTAGAAAGCATGTTCCATGGAAATTTGAGGAATTATACATTTCAAAGGTTATTGATAGTACTCTTTGCTAACTCATCTTCTGATTGAAGCTTCTTAATGTGTTCACAATGAACCATATGTTTCCATTGCTGAATATTCTCCTAAAACATTAATTTCTAGTCCTTAGGACAGATAAACGGAATAAAACAGGAGGATTTATTGCTTTCCTTTATTAGAAATAAGAGTCTTGTCTAAGTATTTCTTGGTTATAAATGAGGATGTTGATAGCTCATAATAATAGCCTGGAAGTGTCTTTTAAAAATTACTGTGCTTTAACAAGTCATTAACTTAAGACCAAAAACAATTATCATCTTGAAATTTTCAAGGATAGTAAGTTTATGTGTAAAAACACATAATGTGATTAATTTTAATAAAGGCAAATCCCATGTTCTATTCATATGATAGGATCATAAAGATCATTAGGATCACAAATTCTTATGATATCTGAAATTAAATATAATAAAACCATGAGCCACAAAGCCTTTTAGTTTAATACTCACATTTAAAATAATGGTATTATTCTCTAGAGTTATTATAACAGAATCATTTTATTCATCTGATCAAGTCCAAAATAAAACAAAGGAAATTATGAAGTACGTGGCTGTGTATCTTATAATTTATTTTCATTTATACCAAGCCTGGTGTATTAAAAGTATGAGCTGAGTGACAATAGGGAAAATACCTTCAAAGTGATTACATTCATCTTCAAAGGCAGATGCCCGATAGCCACGATAATTACCCTGAAATAAACTCCAGTGAGGATGACTGCATTATTTACTACCGTCTTATGAACAAGCAAACATTGCCGTTTTCATTGCTGCACAGGAAGGAAGCTTACTGAAAGTAGTTATTAATGTGTCCATTTACATTCCACCTCTGTGAAAGACCCAAAATCGAGAGAGAGAATACAGAGTGGAAAATTTCATTCCCAATTTAGACATCTCTCCAGACTCCAGAGGAAGCTGCCCAGCTGGCCTCTTCTGTGGCTGAAACTGAGCTGGATGACTGCATGATGAACCTCTGGGCCAACCGCCGGAGCACTAGACTGGAACACGAGCTACTGGATTGGATACACTCTGTCTCCTGTCAGGAACATTTGTGTGTGAGAAATAAAGAAGCTGTCCTTGGAACTGATGCTGGTCAAAATTCTGATACACTTAGAAGCTATTTCAGCAGTTCCAATTTGAGGGGGAAATTCTGGGGAAATGCCAGATTCCAAACTAGCATTCTTAGTTGTTACTGAAACAGCTGTTACTTGTCTAGCTAATAACTGTTTGATTGGGTTTCTTAGCGACATTCCTGACACAAGCCAATGAGGCAATACTTTACATTGAATTTGCCCTACATTTGCTATTCTCCTTTGCTTAAGATGAAAAAAAAATCGGGGGAGGGGGGACGCACTAATTATCTGCTAAATATTGGCAAAAACAGCATTTGGGAACAAGTCCTTTCAAAGTAAATAAATGATGATGGGTAAAAGAAAAATTATTATTGTTTTGAAAAATATTATTTTCCAGAATGAGATACTATCGTGTATCATCTGCAATATTTTCTTCAGCTATTTTGCTCTTGATGAAGCTAACTTTTTAATGGGCAATGTCTCTAACTGAAAGATTCACTGCTGGGCTGCAGAGCTGAAGTTAAATCCAACCTCTAACCAAGCATACGGTCCATGAGAGCAAACTGTTAGCCAGGAACTCAACACTCACAACCCAAATCTCTGCCTAAACAGTACCTTTCATGGCAGGTGGTGTGTACACACTCTGCTTCCTTTGCTTAGGGGATGCATTCTGTGACTGTGAACAAAGACAAAAAATTAAAGTACTATATTTAAATTAAAAGCAAAATATCATCATCTTATAAGATAAATTAATACTATAAGGAAAAAATATAGCCTAAGGGGGGAAATCAGATTTCAAAGGACATTCAAATAACCCCTAATGAGAAATTATATACCCTGGCACTTCAGTGTTGAGATATCTGAAGCTACAGCTACTATTTTTAATCATTTATTCAGCTCTGACATTGCTCTTTTTAATTTTTCTTCCTATAAATATTATTTTGTTTTTTAAAGAAAGATTGATACCAATTCTTCTATATGAGAGAAAATGTAAGTCCCAGGAAAAAGTAAAATCCATGGGACAATCTATCAATTCATAACATTTATATTGGTTCTGCAGGGATAATGAGACTCCTTGGTAAATAATAGCAATTCATAGCTATCTGGAATTTATATGTTGAATCTGGTATATTCATTTATTTGGGTGTATTATGTTTTGATAATATTTTCTATGATAAAAGACTTATTATTTCTTACACAAATTGATATTTATCATTCTTACCTAAGTACACTGAATTAGACTCAAATTATATTAAAAGGTATCTTTGCAATAAAATTTATTTAAGAATTGGACACAGAAGCATACTTTATTGTCAAAATCATAAACAATATATAGGTTTCTTGATATAAAATAGATATATTTGTACATAATTTGTTCATTATAAAATTAAAATTAAAAACATCTGTAATCTATAACAGAAGCAACTTTTGTTAAATACTTTTTAATAGAAACAATTAATATTTAAGTGTGGCATAGTAGTGGCCTTGATCAATAAATTTTACTGTCTAGAATAATTTTTCCCCTTTTTGTTACATTAATTTTTTTCTTCAGAGAACTCAAGTATAAATAGATACAATATATTTGGTGAAAGTTTTTCTAAGGTTTTTAAGCATTTTTGAAGAACATGATTTCGATTCTAACAAAAAGAGTAAACAAAAACCACAGTATCATTAGCTTGTAGAAAGTATCTGTAATTAGAATTTGTAAATTCAAGTATCTTTTCTTGTGTTTACTAACATTTGTTGTCAAAGGCATCTTAAAGATTTTGATATTTACCTGGCTTCAGTAAAACATTCAATCAAACTGTTTTCAAGTTCATCTCAAATAAAGAAACATAAGCAAATTTCTCTAGAATAGAACACTTGTATATCAGTCTCTTATTCAGAAGTGCAGGCAAGATAGGTTAAGTGCCAGTTAAATGTGTGGTTCATTTATTTCTGTTTATCCACAGCATTCAATGAAATCTTGGGAAGCAATAACTCCCAGAATTTTAATGTCTATTTCCATACACAAATTCAAAGATCAAGAGAAAATTAATTCTATTAAAGTTTGCTTGTATAGTAGCAATGGTTAGCATAGTAATTAATGAAATATATTAAAAAAGAATTATTAATTAAATCATTTCAACCTCTTTATGCTTTTAGAAAACTCTTAAGATATTAGTTGGTATTTCACTCTTGGTAATTTTCCCTTTAGTATTGCTATCACCTGCTCATGTGGTCATGGAAATTGATTCATAAGCCCACATATAACTTGTTCAATATTTTACACATTTCTGGGCACAAGTTTACTCACTTCTTTAATTTTATATATTTCACATTATCAGCTCAATGAACTCCACCTGCTTCCTATTTCCTATCTGAACTCATGTGTGTGTGTGTGTGTGTGTGTGTGTGTGTGTGTGTGTGTGTGTGTAAATCCGGCCTCAGAAATAAGATTTTGCTTCACACACCAGAAAATCCTTTCACAGGTACCTGTCTCCTAGATTTCAGTTCCAGGATACCAACACAGGCTACCCCAGCCTGTGGTAGCAGAACCAACTAGTCATTATATTGAAATGATAAATATCATATCTTGTCACAAAAAGACTATTTATTTTAGAAGTTTTTCAGGAGTTAGATTTTTTTCAGAGCTAGAAAATCAAATAAATATAGAAGCAAAGACTTGACACTCTCGTTTCTCTATTTATTCAATCAGTAAAAGTAAACTAAATAATTCTCATATCACTGTTTTTTTAATATCATATTTTATCACATCCTACCAATTTATTGTGTTCTTAAGTGATCTTACCACACATTTATTGAAAATATAAGGACTTACTTCTGCTTGTGTGTTGGTCACCCTCTTGTCATCTATTTCTGCAAGAGACATAGGTATATTATTTCAAAAATTTATGAACATTGTCAACAATATACACAAAAAATATTTAATAATTTTCTTATGTTTATCTAGTATCTGTGACTTAAGCTGGTCATTGAAAGGGACTGGAGGACAAAACGAACCTCTGTAGCCTCTGTTCCATTTCTCAAGTTTATCACTCAGCTTGAATCACTCTGACTCTAAGAGATGTAACAATTTCTTTTCTACATGACTGGAGAGAATTGGTTGCTTTGTCATATTGTCAATAGGAACGTATTCAGATAACTTCTAGAAAATCTGGGTAAAATGGATTGTAAGGACAATGTGAGAGCTGTGATCACAAACTCCAGTCCAACGAAGAGTTTAGATTTTCCTTCTTTCTTACCTACATTCACAGTTTCTGCCTGTTGGCTTCTTGACCCAATATACAATCCTGACCCTTAAAAATTGACCATGCTGAAAAATTGATGCCATGTTTCCCTAATTGAAAGAGTTCATCAAAGAATGTCTTCTTTTGTTTGTTTTGGGGCCACACCAAGCTATGCCCAGGACTTACTCCTGGCTCTGTGCTCAGGGTTCATTCCTGGCTGGGCTCAGGAAACCATTTGTGGCACCTGGAATTGATCCCGCGTTGGCTGCATGCAAGGGAAGTGCCTTACCCACTGTCTTAGCTCTAGCCCAAAGAATGCTTTCTTAAACACAGTATCAGAGATTTGTATTCAATGACATGAACATATACCTTATAAATAAAAAGAATTTGGAAACCATATGTATAATATTTTCTCTTACAAAGAATATATAAAAAAGCAATGATGTACGTTGCTTACACATCAATATGTTAAATATAGCTTCCAGTTGGTTATTAAATAATACATTCTGTTTTATCACAACGTCCACTGGTTTATTTTTATAGAAAACGTTTATTATTTTTGTAACATAAAATTATGTATATAGATACACAATACGTACACGCATACATGTATATTTATAGCAAAATTACTATGGAAATTCTCAACATATAAAGTCAAAATTGCCAAGCAGCTAAAAAATATTATTTGAGACTATTCTTTATTCAAATTATAACTATAGTCACTAAGTTTTAAAGATCCATAGAACCATTCAATGAAATTTATCATCCTTATATAAGATAAAGCAGACAAAAAATATTAGTTGAGAACCACAGTGGTAACTAATGCAATCTCTGGGTATATCTGAGACAGTACCAAAGTAGATGGAAATATACTAAATTTAACAATTGTATTAGTGTGAAAACTTTTATGATCACATTTGAGTAAATAAATATAATCCATTCTAACAAAGAATATTAAATGTCAGTGGTTTCTTAGTGTATTATTTATGTCTTAGGAGTTTTTCTGACTCAAAATAGAATTTGCAGTTTACTGTTTTGGGGAAAAGTGTTTTATTTATGCAGCTTTGTGTATTTCTTAACGTCTAATTATAATACAAACTTTGAAAGTCTCATTCCAAGTAAACTTCATGGACTTCACACATTGAATTAAGTGAAAAAGAGTTTTTTCTTCATTGTCATTTTTTCAGTGGGGCCATACCCAAAGGATCTCCGTGTTTACTCCTGGTTCTATGCTTCGGAATCACTCCTGGTGGGGTTCAGGGGAGCATTTGCAGCACAAGTCAAGTAACTTAAGCCCTGCATTATCTCTCCAGTCCCAAAGTTTTACTATTTGTGGGGAGGCCACACCCAAAAGTGCTCAGAAATTACTCCTGGTTCAGCTCTCAGGAATCATTCCTGGATGGCTTGGGGACTATATGAGATACCAGGGATTAAACCAGGGTTGACTGCATTAAAGGCAAGTACCTATCCATGGTACTATCTCTCCACTCCCTCGCCAAAGTTTTATTCTTAAGGAGTGATAATGACATAAATTTTTAAAGTAAAACAAAGATTGATGTACTAAAGTTCCTTTTGTTATTTGGCAGCAGATACTCGTGGAAATGGGCTCATTCCTTGTGATAACTCATTCAGCTCGGTCAGGCAATTCAATGCTAAGGCCCCAAGTTCTAGTGAGAACATGTCCCTCCAGGAGAGCTGACCAACAACAGTCACCACAACAATGATTCAGGGGTCAGGAAGTACTGAGGACAATACCTGAGTCCCGCATGTGTCTATGTTCCAGTTCTATCTACCCATTCTCTAATGTTCCTCTCCATTATCGACTTATCTTGAAATAGAAGAATGAAAATTAAATGACTTTGAAGTCAAATCTTAGAGGAAGGTACAGGCATGCCAAAAATAGATCATAGATTTCTTGAGATCAATTGAAGACACAAATATAAGTTGTTGCTAAATTGGAAAGGTTAATTTGCCCTCCAATCATCTCACATAAACAATTACACACACACACAAACACACTCACTCTACAATATCATTTGACTACATGGACTGGGACAACATACAGATACAACACAATGTGTCCTCCATTTTGTGCAAAAAGTGTGACATATAGAAAATTAGAAATATATTTTCATATCATTAGCTATTTATTCAACACAAAAAATGCCAAAATGGAATATGTATATTATTCGCCTTTTTTCTTTAAGGCCTGGTCTTAAATTACGAACCTATAGCCAATATTAGAAGGTTTAAGAAATACTGGTAGCAATTCAAGGGATAGAAAGAAAATAGTAAGATTATGATTAAAAAGAGAAAATTTTCAGTGAAAGTTATTGAATGCTTATGTGTGCAAACATTTATTAGTGGGAGGGAAAATGAGAACTAAAATGATTTTCAAACATGCCTAGTGATCATGAGAGCTCTTTAATTTCATTTATCTATTGATTAAATATAGAAGAGAAACAATGCATAAAAGAAAACACATGTATTATCTGTTAGTTTATAAATATTGCCAGTGCCGCTTTTTGTGCTCAAACCTATTAATGCTCTTTCTATCATAGTGAAAGTTATCATGGTTCAGAGATCTTTCCCGAAGAAAAATATTCCCAATTTGAGCCTTCTGTTCCAAACTCATTCTCATTTGCCTAATATTTATTAATATTCATAACATACATTATTGTATAGCCTTAATCATGGCCATGCATATTATGTCTCCTCAAGTAGCCCAAAAAGAAACGGAGATGAGCATCCATGTCTTATTCTTCCTCTGTGTTTAGCACAGCAGCATAACTTAGGCATCATCACTGCTTGTTAAATAAGTACATCCTAATGGCTATATTTCAGCAAGAAAGACTCTCTGCTGCTTCTCTACATGACAAACTACAATAGTAGTACAATTATTCATAAAAACATACAAAACATTAAATATTTTTAACTATTAATCATTTGACTTGAAAACTTCTTAAAATGTAAACTGTAACTCCTATTACATTATAACAATTCAGTAGATCCAAAGCACCAGAATTATTATAAATTTTATCTAAGTAACTCAAATGGGAATTAGGATCAGTAATATATTTTTCCCCTATTACTTGATAGCAGTTACAAAGTTACCTGGCTCAAGGACAATGTATATAACAAGTAAAATTTCTAAAAAGCTATAAAGTAGAATTTATTATTTTAATATCTATTAAACTCAGACAATGATAGAAACTGTAAAAATGCATTATCTTGGATATGAGCAACCAAAAAGCACTCACCTATAAATAGACTGCTAAAGAAAGAACCCATTTCTAAGAATAAAATCAAAAGATAGACTTTTGATGAATTTTGATAACAAAGGCTCACTTGAGTATTTACTTTAGGTAGTTATTTTGGAAATATGAGGGGAACAGTTAGTTTAGAGGAAACTGGAGTTCTTCCAAAAAAGAAAAAGAGCATTCTAAGTTCAGACTTTGAAGCTTCCTCTGCTCAAAAGCAATAGTAATAACAGATTAAATATAAAAAGCTATGACTAAAATGACACTGACACAGCACAGTCCAAAATAAGTCAAAGGTCTCTGGATCATAAGCATAAGTAGAGGAAAAGGCAATGCAACAAGCCACAGGGCTGAAAAATTTTCAATCTAGAAAGAGACAGCAGGAAATGCTTATCCTTGAGAGCTCGCTAGCTTCATGTGAAGGGCCTAAAAATAGACTTGCTCGAAATCACTAGATGCAGGGCTGTGTCGCTTATGTTGAGAAAGCCGACAACTTAAGACATATCACAATTGGGCTCCATGATCACATCTTCTCCATTCTTAATATCACCATGGATCAAGAACCCTGAATTCCAAAACAAGATGTGACGTGGCTCTAGATTTGCAGTATTTTAAGTCTAGGGATATCAGAAAGAGAACTGCCATGAACATTTGAGATCTTGAGTTTATTTTCTAGCACTAGCCCACAAGTACCAAGAGTTGAAATCTGGGGTCCTGGGCACCACAGCAAGCCACAAGTATGCAGTATGCACACTGTGTGATCACAGTTGAATGTGCTGGCATTGTGACCAAGTGTACTCCTCCAACAAACATCACAATTAAAGGTGGAGAAGCACCTAAACCAGAGAACGCAACTTACAGCGAAGAGCACCACCACTAAGTGTGGAAGTACCACAATCAAGTGTGTGCAATCTCCAATCACTACTCCAACAAAAAGGAGAGGAAAAAACTATTTTTTAATAAATCTGTACTATTGTGGTCTGGAGCAATAGTACAACAAACAGGGCACTTGCCTTGCGTGCATTTTACCAGAGTTTGATTCTAATCACCCCTATATGATTCTCTGAACATCTCCAGGAGTAATCCCTCAGACCAGAGCCAGGAGTAAGCCCTGAGCACTGTCAGTGTAGTCCAATACTAAACATCAACAAAAAGAATTATGCAGTAGTAAATAATGAAAAACTTGGGAACATTAACCAAAAAAGGTGAACACAGAGGAAGGAATTCTCATTCAAGATGAGTTGAAATTAAATTAGCATATTGAATCAGATAACATGCATTAAATAAATTTAATTAAAATCTCAAAACACAAGAGATAAAGAAAGGGAACATTTAAGAATGACAGTCATACAATACTGCAAGCAGCAAG